ATTTGGGTGGAAGAGAAGTTAGCTGACTCAGTTCGATTACTTTTATGAGATCTCGATTTATTTTTTTTTACTTTGTGCCCGCTTGGTGTTGTCTTGTCGATGGGTTGTCGAAGACTGAAAATATCGCGGATTCTCGGAAAGTCAGCGCCGATGCCGAGAATATTCGAAAGCGGTCGAGATGAGAAAAAGAACGGTATGAAAAACGTGGGAATTGAAACTCGACATATACTGAGGTAAGCGACGAAACACTGTTGATAAACAAGGCGCCGAAATCGAGCGTTACTTGCTTAGCCTTAAAGCGCGATAGATAGGCAGCGATTTATCGGAGCATTCCGCCCGTTTCGGTATTAAGAGATTAATGCCGAATTTAAAGTAGAAATTACGTTTGTTAAATACATTGGTGAGATAGGTTAATTTAACTCGGAGGAATTACAAAATCGAAATCGGATACGCCGTTGCACCGTTATGGTTGAATTTCGAATACATATGGTTGGATGATTGAGATGAATAGAAGCTGCGATGGGTGAGATGCAATTCGTTGATCGCGGACTGGTCTTTCTTTTAAGATAAGAATACATAATTATTCCGACACCGGCAACGGGCCAATTTTACAATTGGTCGCTTGAAGATTGAGTTCGCCGTTCGAACGGTAACGACGGATGAGTCCGTCAGCACCGGCGTGTCTCGATGACGCGTCCTAGATGCCATTTGGATGGAGGGTGTCTTTCGTCAATCAGCAGTACGAGAGATCCGATTTTGATTTGGCGGGAAGGTTGCCGCCATTTAGCGATGTCCTGTAGCCGTTGCAGATATTCTTTAGTCCAGCGTCAGCCAGAATCATTGCGTGATTTGCTGGAGGAATTTCCAGCGTGAAAGTCGCGTCGTTTTCTTCTCCTCCAACGACGGCTCCGGGATCATCGAGATTGAGCTACCTATTAAAAAATGCGCTGGAGTAAGCGCTTCGAGATCGGTAAGATCGTCCGATAAAGGACAGAGCGGACGTGAGTTGAGGATGGCCTCGATTTGGATGAGGAGTGTTGAGAATTCCTCATAAATCAATAAAGAATCGCCCATCAGACGCCGCAGATGGAACTTGACTGATTTCACAGCGGTCTCCCATTTGCCGCCAAAGTGAGGTGCAGCGGGAGGATTAAAATGCCACTTGGTTCCCGTAGATGCGAGAGTGTTGGCGATCTCAGCAAGTTCGAGAGAGGCGGCGTCGAACATACGACGGAAGTCAGTGTTCGCGCCGACAAAGTTTGTTCCACAGTCGCTAGTTAGAGAAGCACATAGGCCGCTGCGTCCTAAAAATCGTCTGTAAGCGGCGATAAATCCTTGCGTGGAATAATCCGTCGCAAGCTCTAGATGAACGGCAGATGTGGAAAGGCAAACAAAGACGATTAGGAAGTGTTTGTATGTGCGACTGGATCATCCGCGCCAGATTCGGAGTGAGAAAGGGCCGGCATAATCCACCCCTGCGTGGAAAAAAGGCCTTGACGGAGAGACTTGAGAGGATGGTAACTCCCTAAGTTCCTTAGCTGCTTCAGCGCGGTATCGCGTGCACCGTACACAGCGTCGAACGAAGGAGCTCACTGGAGCGCGACCCTCTAGGATCTAGAAACGTTGTCGCAGAACGGACAGCATCAGTTGCACACCATGCAACGTTCGCGTGTGAATTTCATCGAGAATAAGGCGAGTTAGTGGGGAATCGCGTGGCAGCAGAATCGGATGCTTAGCGTCCGGATCGAGGAGTGAATTTCGAAGCCGCCCGCCATCGCGTAACAGTCCTTGTTCGTCGATGAATGGAGCGAGGCGTAAGAGCGAATGAGATTTTGCGAGACCGGTCCCATGTGTTAAGGTGGCGAGTTCGTTGGCAAAGTACGCGGCTTGAGTCTGTATCAACCAAAAGGTCTCGGCCTCGAGAAGTTCCGACGGAGTCAACACGCGTGAATGCGTGGTGGTCGCGCGTTTTCGAAAGCGAGACGTAGCACGGGTGAGCCACGCGGTGATGCGAACGAGTTTGGATAGCGATCAGCGAGGTCCCAGGACACGAGTTGATGAGAGACGGCGACAGTTGCGTGAGGAGTTCGCTCCTCCAGATCGTGCGCGGAGTCAATATGTGGAGTAGCCGAAGGCCACATCGTTGATGGTTGCGAGAGCCACTTTGGTCCTTTCCACCACAGATGATGATCCGAAAGATCTTGCGGCGTGAGATCGCGGGAGGCGCAGTCTGCTGGATTGTTATCTCCAGCGACATGATGCCAACGAGCGGACGGCGCGATATCCTGGATGAGCGCAACGCGATTGGCCACGAATTCCTTCCAACGAGAAGGTTGCTCGTGAATCCACGTGAGAGTGACGGTTGAATCGACCCAAAGATGAACAGACGCGATCTCGAATTGGAAAACACGTTAAACCTGAGCGAGCAAACGAGCCAACAAAACGGTGGCAGAAAGTTCGAGCCGAGGAATCGTTACTCTTTTGAGCGGCGCGACTTTGCTCTTCGCGGTGACAAGCGAGATCCGCGCGCAGTCGAGATCGTCGAGCACTCGCACATAAACCATTGCGCCAAGCGCGTGTTGAGAGGCGTCGGAGAATCCATGCAGCTCTACAGTCAGCGAAGATGATGAGAGACCAATCCATCAATGAATGGTGATGTTAAGCGGTTCCGCAAGTTCATGTCATTGTTGGCTAAGATTCCGGCAGCGAATCGTCCCAGTCGAGATGGAGTTTCCAGAGCTCTTGGATGAAAATCTTTGCTGCGATGGTGATTGGCGTTATGAGTCCGAGCAAAGAGCTGAGCGACTCGCGAGAGCACGACGCGTTTCGTGATGATGCTCGGAGAAGGAAAGAAGCGCGATTGCATAACGAAGACATCGGACGACGGTCTCCAGCCTGAGTGCGCGAGCGAAGGATTCCGAATAGAATTGGCGTGGAGATGCGTCGGCGTGTCGGCAATCGTCAATGTCGGCGATGACGGCTGGTTCGTTGGACGTCCATTGCTGCAGCGTGAAACCGCCCGCCATGAACAGCTTGTCCACTTGGTGAGCTTTCGCTCTAGCCAGCGTGATGGTGTCGGCTCCCGATAGTACGTCGTCGACGTACATCTCGTTCAGAATGACATCAGAGGCGTCCGGAAATTGTGAGCCCTCATCATACTCGATTTAACGAAGCACGCGAAGAGCCAGATATGGAGCGCAAGCGAATCCATAAGTGACTGTATTGAGCTGATATTCTGCGGGTTGGCCGGACTCACTCCAGAGAATGTGCTGAAAACGACGGTCTTCATGGTGTACCTCGATTTGGCGATACATCTTCTCAATGTCGGCGCTGAAGACGTAAGGATATCGGCGCTACCGGAGAAGAACGTCGAAGATATCAAGTTGCTGCTTGGGACCGACATGCAAGCAGTCGTTTAGAGAAACCCCGGTTGATGTTCGGCACGAACCGTTAAAAACAACGCGGAACTTGGTTGTAAAGCTGCCTTCACAAAGAACTCCGTGATGAGGCAGAAAGTGAGCTGGAGCTTCGTCTGAACGAGAGATTGAGACTGGAGACATGTGCTGGAGTTCTGCGTATTCCCGTAGAAACTCCGAATAGAGACGCGAAAGAACGTCATCCGACGCGACATCAGACGGCGTTGCTGTTTGGTGAGCATCCGAAGAGCGGCGGAGTAAGACGAACCGAGAGACGGCCTTGGTGACCGGAGAGGAAACCGGACCACGTACCGTTCCGAAGAGCGTCGCGTATGCGTGGCAATGAAGTGCTGCTCGCATTGCTCCTCTTCGGCGCTGAGTCGAACAGCCTTGACGGTAGGCACCTCCTCCTGTATCCAGAATCGGCAGAGAAGGTCGCTGAGGTCGAGATCTGGTGTGCCGATAAAGGCGTGCTTCGCGGGTGCCGGTTCAGGCTCGTTGTTAACCGGACTGCCCGTCGGACCGAAGACAATCCATCCCAGCATGGTGTCGTGCGCGACGAGTTGATCGACGGTGCCTTGGAGCATGGATGACCGTAAAAGCTGCCCGTAAATGTCAGCGCCGAGAATGATGTCGATCTTGCCAGATGTTGCGAACATCGGATCGGCAAGCGAGAGATCGTGGATATGAGTCCAAGTATCCGTTTTGAAGGGAGTCGGCGGTATACGATTCGTGAGATTCGGCAAGATATATGCGAAGACGTCGAACTCGACAGAGGGGTCGACCCACGCACAGAGACGGAGCGAAAGAGCTCCACGAGTTGAGCCAGCAGAGCGCGAGCCGATGCCGAGAATCGGAATGTTAGCGTGACGACAAGGAAGGCGGAGGACTTAAGCGAGCGGTTCGCGAACAAACGATAGTTCCGAGCCTTGATCGAGCAAGACGCGAGCCAGGATTCGTTATCCGTGCTCCGACACGATGTAAACTAACGCGGTGGCGAGTAATGTCGGAGAGCGATTCGCACTTTGGTTCACTTTTGCATGCATTGAGGTGACCCCTGGAGACGTGGAGGTGGTCTGAAACAAGTGATAATGAAACAAGTGCAGTCGAGTTTGCATGAGTCGAGCCCGGTTGCATGAGTCGCGCCTTGAGTTGATCCGGCGTAATGTATGAACGTATGGTGATGTCCGTAACAAATGCGGCAGCGTTTGCTAGTTCGACACTCACTGAGTTTATGCGAGCCGAGGCAATTGTAGCAGAACCACTTCGCATTCACGATTTCGCAGCGTTCAGTGACCGATTTTGCGATGAAGTCGGGACACCGCGTGATGTAATAGTTTTCGTTGCAAAACGAGCACTTGGAAGCCGAAGTCGTTGCAGAGTTGACTCGAGCTGAGAGTTTCGTTTTGGATCCAGCTTTCGTTGATCGTGCTTATTTATCAGAGTGGTTCGGCGCGAACGTCTCAAGCTCTGAGAAGGTAGCCGGCTCCGTCTTGCTTCCTTGATGCAATTCCCAGGCCTCACGCGACTCGGGATCTAATCGCTTCGCGACGAAATAGACCATGAAATAGTCTCACGAGCCGATCAGAGCGCATGTAGGCTACCGAGAGCTTTCTTAACTGTCGCGAGTAAATCCTTGAGCTCGTCACCTGATTTTCGAGTTAGAGGTTGTAATCCAAACAATCGATCGAGATAAGCACTCATAAGGACACGCTTGTTTTCGTATCGGGCGACTAACGCGTCCCAAGCTGGCCCGAAATTATCCTCGGTGACGGCTAAATTTGAAATGCGGCGAGCTGCTTCGCCAGTTACATGATTCTTTAAGTAATGCAGCTTTTCTACGAACAGAAGATCTGCATTAGAGACAATCATTGATGTAAAAAGGAACGAGGGCCATGAATGATAATCGCCGGAGAACTTCGGAAGCGTAATTTTCGGCAGCGCACGAGCCGTGGAATGACGCGACGCTGAAACATTAAGAGAGTCGTCCGAGGCAGCTTCCGGTGAGGCAGAGTCTTGTCGAAGCGTTAAGAGTGTGTCTTTATTCTCGAAATATGCCGTTTCCGTAAGGTCGTAATAATCCGTAACAAAATAATCGAGTGTCTTTTCCGCTTCGACAGCGGCGGCAATTAATGCACTGTGCGTTGTTTGGAAAGATTTCCAATTGGACTCTAATGATTCAAGTCGTGTATTGATGGTGACAAGCGTGATTTTCTCCTTACCAAGTTTTTTGAGATTTTCAACAACTCGGCTAATGCGGTGATGGAGCTCATGTTGCATCCGAATGGTCGCTTCGATCTTGGTCATTTCTTTAGTCAATGATTCGTTGAGTGGCTGATGACAAAACGGCTTACCACGTCACGGGGCGGTTTTGATCCGAGGAGATAGCGATGAGTCGGCGTTCGAGGAAGGCCTCACAATGCACTCCAGCGCACAGAATGTGAGAGTTTCAAAATAGTGATCGGTAATAGGAACACACACAGATCATTGAGAGACACAGATTACTCGAGACCAAAGTCGAGAGAAAACTAACACGAGATTCGCGAGAATAATAATCCAGCTCGAAGGACCAATGTTCGTTTGAAAAGATTTGGGTGGAAGAGAAGTTAGCTGACTCAGTTCGATTACTTTTATGAGATCTCGATTTATTTTTTTTTACTTTGTGCCCGCTTGGTGTTGTCTTGTCGATGGGTTGTCGAAGACTGAAAATATCGTGAATTCTCAGAAAGTCAGCGCCGATGCCGAGAATATTCGAGAAGCGGTCGAGATGAAAAAAAGAACGGTATGAAAAACGTAGGAATTAAGACTCGACATATACTGAGGCAAGCGACGAAACGTTGTTGATAAACAAGGCGCCGAAATCGAGCGTTACTTGCTTAGCCTTAAAGCGCGATAGATAGGCAGCGATTTATCGGAACAGCGACCGAATAGTATTTTTTTTCCTCTAGTCCTGTATACAGGGTGACCCATTTTAACTTAGGCAGCCAAATAACTAGAAAAATAAGCACACTACGAAAAAATGGTTACAATCAAAATTTCGTCATTTCGAGGGGGACGTACAATGACGTTAAAATCAGCCCCCCCACCCCTCCCCCTGGGCGGTGAGGGGGGGCAAGTTTGAAATCTTAAATGGAACCCCCTATTTTTCATTGCATATTCTTGTAGCTTATCTCGAGAGCTTTCCAAAACACTATAATTAAGTACCTTTTTATTAAGTACTTTTTGAGTTATAAGGCTTAAAATAATTTCTTAATTTTACATAAACCATAAAATATCTAGTAAACCATTCATTTTTCGATTATCTTACCTTCATACTTTTATGTACAAAATAATGAGAGGAATCAATTGGTGTAAAGAAAACATACAGTTGTTTTTAAGAAAAAATATGGAATTGTTAATTGCAAATTACATATTTTTTCTTAGAAACAACTATGTGTTTTCTTTACACCAATTGATTCCTCTCATTATTTTGTACATAAAAGTATGAAGGTAAGATAATCGAAAAATGAATGGTTTACTAGATATTTTATGGTTTATGTAAAATTAAGAAATTATTTCAAGCCTTATAACTCAAAAACTTAATAAAAAGGTACTTAATTATAGTGTTTTGGAAAGCTCTCGAGATAAGCTACAAGAATATGCAATGAAAAATAGGGGGTTCCATTTAAGATTTCAAACTTGCCCCCCCTCACCGCCCAGAGGGAGGGGTGGGGGGGCTGATTTTAACGTCATTGTACGTCCCCCTCGAAATGACGAAATTTTGATTCTAACCATTTTTTTAGTGTGCTTATTTTTCGAGTTATTTGGCTGCCTAAGTTGAAATGGGTCACCCTGTATCTTTCCTTATAGATACGGTGAGCTTGTTTAATAATAGCATGCTTTTGTTGAAATCCAAATTGGGAATCAATCCTTTTTCTTCTATTATTGGTTCTAATCTTGAGAGTAATAATTTTTCAAAAACCTGTGACAAAATTGGTAGAAGACTGATTGGTCGATAAGATTTGACTTCTTCCGGATTTTTTCCTGGAGTATAAGTATAATCTGAAATACTTTCCATTGTAGTGGGAAGTAACTAATTCTCAAAATGGCATTGAATATTTGAATTAAGAACTTACATCCTTCCTCTGGCAAGTTTTGGAGTATTTGTCCAGTGATTAAGTCATATCCAGGAGCCTTTTTTGGATTTAGGTTATCCCTGATGATTTTGATGACTTCATTCTTTTTGAATTTAATGGAAGTTCCAGTTGATAAGGTTCGTTTAATAGTCTATGAATTTCGTTTTCTTCTTCTTCTGAATGTGTCACAGCCGGGTTTAGAACAAAGAGTTCAACTAAATGTTGGGCAAATGCATCCGCTTTTTCGATTGTACTTCTCGCTCATTTTCCATCCGATGAGCGTATAGGTGATATTGAGATTTTTGGTTGTTTAAGTCTCTTAGTCGCTTTGCAGAGCGTGTAATCATTTGCTTACATTGCCTTTAAGCTTTGTAAATATTCCTTAATTCCCTGATTCCTCTCTGAGTTAAGCATCTTTCGTAGGCTTTTGATGACTTTATTTAGTCTCTTAGTTCTGGAGATCTGGTTATTTGCCACTGTTTCCTGAGTTTGCGTTTTTCTGCTACTTTTATTCGCACTGATATCGAAGATTCATTAACGCTGTCCTTTGCTGAGTTGAGTGGAGTTGCGTTCCATGCCGCTTGTTGTATCCCTAATAGCACATTTTATTGGAGCAATATTGGCTAACAATATACATCCAATATTGATCCAATATTGCAAAGTAGACAGCTTTCATTTTGAGCCAATATTGAATTGTAATATTGGACGAATATATTATTTTCATCTTTAACTAAGATTGGTTAGTTATACATACCAAAATATTTTTACATTGGATATAGATCAGTTTCTAATATATAACGGAATTTGCCATCAAAAAAAAATTAAACGTCTGTAGTTAATTTATGGAGCTATAAAGCTCTTCGTAAAAAATAAAGGAAGTGCGGCTATAATAGTCCGCACTTTTCCGATTGATAACTTGTGGGACCTGTGCCGCGACATTATATACTGTTTTAGATGGAGTTCTACTCTCGGGTTAGGAGTTTTCCTTTTCGCCACTTAGTGGCAACGCGCAAAGCTCACATATAGTGTGTGAACGTGCAATATTGGCACACATTTACATTTACTTCATAACCAATATTAGTATTATAATGGATGCAACCATATTGGCAACATATTTATATTTAGTAATATTAGTCATCATGGGCACTGCAATATTGGCAGAACACTTGCATTTTGTTAACAACCAATATTAGTTTTACATTGGGAAATATTAGCCAAGACATTTCCAACATAACCAATATTGAGCCAAGGTATACCAATATTTTGCCAATGTTTTGTGCTACTAGGGATCCACTGATTAAAATGCTCTATCGCTTCAGTGATTTCGTTCTCAGATTTTAAAGATATTGATGAGTTTAGTGTTTTTTTTGGGACCTGTAGTCGTAAATGTTCCCAGTCAGTTCTTTTATTACACAGTATGCACGATTTTTCTTTTTCAAATACTTTGCTGCTCATGGTGAGTAATATCGGCGAGTGGTCTGAAGACAGTTCTAGGCATGAAATCTAACATTTAGATATCGTTTATTTATGTTTTTGGTGATAAAGAAGTCAATAACGTCTGGAATCTTCCTTCTATTTGTAGGCCAGTACGTTGGTTCTCCTGTGGACACTGCTACGAACTTCAAGTATTCCATAGATTTATGAAGTTCTCTACCCTTTGGCGTCATCAGACGTGATCTCCATTGTGGGTGTTTGGCGTTGAAGTCACCTCTAGAAATAAATCTATTTCCCAGTGTTTTAAAGTAGAGTACAAATTCATTTTTTTTTATGTTAAATCGAAAGGAATTAGGCTCGTTATATATTAAATAACATGATAAGAAAACTAGCGTCTACGAGCCACAGCGGATGATAAATGCCTGAAAAATACATTTTAATTGTACGCGAAATTTTAAACGAAAATACGGCATATGCATATATTTTACTTGGTGCATTTAACCAAGATATAGATTCTCATTTTTGAGAAATTCTATAAAACCCTCTTCCCGATTCAGCGACTTCGCCCCGATATTTTTCTCGTCTACGTCTCTTCAGAGGGGTATAGAGGGTTTTATAGAATTTCTCAAAAATGAGAATCTATATCTTGGTTAAATGCACCAAGTAAAATATATGCATATGCCGTATTTTCGTTTAAAATTTCGCGTACAATTAAAATGTATTTTTCAGGCATTTACCATCCGCTGTGGCTCGTAGACGCTAGTTTTCTTATCATGTTATTTTTTTATGTTGTTTCGGAGGACAGACTGCTGAGATAGTGAAAGGAACAAGCCAGTCTTCTATAACTACATTCGTAGCTTGTATTTGTTCTGTATAATATGCATTAGTTACATGATGCTTTATGTTACTTCTAATAATAATGACTGATCCGCCGTGGATAATCAGGGTGCATTGTATGATAAACTGAATATCCGAAAATTTTGATGTGACTCTTTTTAGTGAAGTCAGATATTTCAGATATTAGCTAAATATCTATACTTTGATCTTTTAAGAAAATCTGTAATTCAAGTTTGTGCTTGGATAAGCCGTTAGCATTTTAGATCGCTAGCTGTAATATTTTAATTATTGCGACATTTTGGAAATTAGCGTGGTAAATAGATTTAACATAGTACTCATCTGTTCCGTGAGGCTTTTTATCAAGGTTTTTAGTTCCTGGAGATCATTAATTTGGTGAACTTTGAGACTGTTGAATAGATGCAGGATTGTTAAATTCGTGTTCTTGCGTATTCTTGTTTGCTGTAGCTTATGCATAGCTGGGTCCTGGATGAATAGAATTGAAAATAGAATTCCAATGATTGCGATAAATGTGTGCTTTGTTTCGTAGCATTTTGTTTTGGTGCTATTTCTTTGTTGATATTTGGTAACGATGCACTCCGTGCACTCCCTTAAATGCATCGTATATCCGGCATGCGATCCGCCGGAAGCTGCCGCCCGGCAGAAGACCCGCCGGGCATAGGCAGGGGCGCAGTGCGCCCACATTTTTTAAACGACTTTAACTCTTTCGAAAAAGGGAGCCGAATACCACCGAGTGTTGCCGACGTGTCCCGATCCGGCGACCGGCGAAAACCCGCGCTCGGCGCACACCCCGAACCCCTCCGAGCGGGCCCCCGACCGTACCGCTTTCCGTAACCCGTTCGGAAGGGGTAATACCGCCGCGCACCGACGCAGGCAATTAAGCCGGTATAAAACGGGCACGTT